ATAATGAAGATTAATTTAATTTAATTTTTTTTATTTTTTTGGATATCTAATATATTTTAATACAGGTTCCTCACTGTACATAAAAATGGTCCTCATTATCTGTTTGTGATTACCAAAAATCTGTCTTCATGCTATCACTTTTATTTCTTTAATAAAAAGCTAAAATTTAAACAAAACAAACTGTACTTGAAATAAAATCAGTGTCTTCAAAGGGTTCACACACATTTATACAGTCTATCCAATTTCGGTCCCTTTTTGAAGGGACCTCAGATGGTTGGTAAGACAAAGGCATTATTAACAAGTTGTCTGTCTACAACCAGTTACACATAATTTGAGTTAAACTACAGTTGCAGATGACAGAAGCTCTCCTTTCATCTTTTGTAGGAAGGTCACCCGCGAGCGCCACGCTTCTGGAACTAAATAACGTGGCCCCCACCGTTAAAGATAAATTTAAAAATTTGTTGTTGTCCCACGCTAGTAAATAGGAATTTTACAGGTACACAAAGGAACACATTTAATCACAATGTGGGGCCAATCCACAGATCACTGTTTTCACAGAATTTCTGTGAAATAAACTTTGTTTAGGATTTAGGATTTCTGCAGCTAAGTTTATGAAGGATATTGAGAAGGAATTTTCTTTTCTTGTCAGATTTTGGTATCAGGGTTATGCTGGCCTCAAAAAGTTGTGTTCCTTCTTCCTATACTCTCTGTAAACGTTTGTGTAAAAGTTTGGTATTATTTCTTCCTTACATGTTGGTAGAAGTCACCAGTGAATTCTACAGCCTAGAAGTGTTTGAGGGTGGGAAGGTTCAGTTTCTTTCTTTTTTTTTTTTTTTATCCTCACCCGAGGACATTTTTCCATTTTTTGTACAGACAGAGTGGGAGGGAGAGAAAGGAAGAGAGAGAGAGAGAGAAACATTGATGTGAAAGGGACACATCGAGTGGCTGCCACCCACACGACCAACCAGGGCCGGGGACAAACTGCAACCGAGGTACATGCCCTTAGCAGGAACCGAATCCCGGTCTCTCCGGACCGCAGGCCAACGCTCTAACCGCTGAGCCAAATGGCCAGGGCAGGTTCAGTTTCTTTAACTGACATAGAACTGCTCAGATTTTTCTATTTCCTCTTATGTTCATTTCAAGAAGTTGTGTTTAATGGAATATATCTTTTTCCTCTAAGTTGTCAAACTTAGGGGCATAAAAGTTGTTCGTATATTCCTTATGATTCTTTTGATATCTGTAGGATCTGAAATGATATCCTCGTTTTCATACCTAATATTGTTAATTTGTGTTTTCTCTTTATTTTCTTAATCAGTATTGCTAAGGGCTTATTAATTATATTAACCTTTTCAAAGAACCCAACTTTTGGATTTCTTGATCTCCTGTGTTTGCCTATTTTCTGTTCTTACTATTTTCCCTTCTTCTACTCCTCTTATTAATTTGCTTTTTTTTTTATTGTGGTAAAGAATACATAACATAAAATTTACCATCTTAACCATTTTTTAAATATTATTATTTTTTTATCCTCACCCAAGGACATGTTGGCATTTATCTTCAGATAGAGCGGGAAGGAGAGAGGGAGGAAGAGAGAGAGAGAGAAACATCGATGTGAGAGAAACACATCGACTGGTTGCCACCCACAAGACCCCAACTGGGGCTGGGGCCGAACCACAACAGAGGTATGTGCCCTTAGTGGAAACCAAACCCGGGACTCTCTGGTCCTCGGGTCAACGCTCTAACCGCTGAGCCAAACCGGCCAGGGTCCATCTTAACCATTTGTAAGTTCAGTAGCATTAAGTATATTCACATTGTTGTGAAACAGATCTCCAGAACTTTTTCATTTTGCAAATCCAAGAGTCTATACCCATTAAACAACAACTCCACTTTCCTCCTACCCCCAAATCTTTGGTAACCACCATTCTACATTCTGTTTATATGAATTTGACTACTTTAGCTACCTCATTCAAGGGGAATTGTACAGTATTTGTCTTTTTGTGACTGGCTTATTTTACTTAGCATAATGTCCTCAAGGTTCACCCATGTTTTAGCATGTGACAGGATTTCCTTCCTTTTTTTTTTTTTTTTCCTCACCAGAGGATACTTTTCCATTTATTATCAGATAGAGTGGGAGGGAGGGAGAGAGACAGAAAGAAACATTGATGTGATAGAGTCATATCGACTGATTGTCTCCTGCACAACCTGACCAGGGCCGGGGACAAACTGCAACTGAAGTGCGTGCCCTTGACCGGAATCAAACCCGCGACTCATTGGTCCATGGGCTGATGCTCTAAGTGCTGAGTCAAACCAGCCAGGGCCTTCCTTTTTATTTTTTAAATCCTCACCTAAGGATACTCTTTTTTTTTTTTTTTTCCATTTATCTTCAGGTAGGATGGGAGGGAGGGAAAGAGAGAGAGAGAAACATTGATGTAACAGAGACATATAGACTGGTTGCCTACTGCATGACCCTGACCAGGACCAGGGCCGGGGACTGAACTGCAACCAAGGTATGTACCCTTGACCAGAATCAAACCTGTAACTCTTTGGTCCATGGGCTGATGCTCTAACTGCTGAGACAAACCTGCCAGGGCAGATTTCCTTACTTTTTAGATATGATAATATTCCATTCATTTGTCTATGAACATTGGGGTTGTTTCTACATCTTGGCTATTATAAATGGACATGAGTGTTCATGCATGTTATAAATATGTGTATGCAAATATCTCTTTGAGACCTTCCTTTCAATTCTTTTGGAGTGGGATGGCTGGATCATATGGCAGTTATAATCTCAAATTTTCAAAGAACCTTCATTCTGTTTTACATATGGGCTGCACCATTTTACAATCCCACCAACAGTGCATAAGGGATCCAATTTCTCCACATCCTCACTCACACTTGTTTTTTTTTATAGTAACCATCCTAATGGATGTGAGGTGGTATATGTGGTTTTTATTTGCCTTTCTCTGATTAGTGATGTTGAGAATCTTTTCAGATGTTTGTTGGACATTTGCATATCATCTTGGAGAAATGTCTATTCTAGTTCTGTGTTTCATCGGGTATTTGATGTTTTGTTATTGAGTTGTAGGAGTTCTTTATATATTTTGGATACCTTATCAGATATATGATTTACTAATATTTTATCTCATTCCATTTATTCTTTGATGCACAAGTTTGATGTAATCCCATTTATCTATCTTTGGTCTTATTGCCTGTGTTTTGGTCTTCATTAAAAAAAATCATTTCCAAATCCAATATATCATGAAGGTTTTCCCCATGTTTTCTTCTAGGTGATTTATAGTTTTAGGTCTTACGTTTAGATCTTTAATCCATTTTGAGTTACTTTTGTATATGGTGTAAGAGAAGGGTCCAAATTCATTCTTCTGCATGTGGATATCAAGTTTTCACTATTTGTTGAAGAGACTTCCTTTCCCAATGAGTCATCATGGCACCTTTATAGAAGATCATTTGATCATATTTGTGAGGGCTTTTTATTTTTTTAATATTTTATTTTTTAGAGCAATTTTAAGTTCACAGCAAAATTGAGCAGAAAGGTCTGGCCAGTGTGGCTCAGTGGTTGAGCATAAACCCATGCACCAAGAGGTCACAGGCTGGATTCCCAGTCAGGGCACATGCCCAAGTTGTGGGCCAAATCCCCAGTGGGGGGAATGCAGGAGGTGGCCAATTGATGTTTTCTCTCACCAATGTTTCTATCTCTCTCTCCCTCTCCCTAAAAAATAAAATAAATTAAATTAAAAAAAATTGAGCAGAAAGTACGGAGTTCCCATATACCCCTTGCTCACTCCACATGCTAATATGCTGTTTAAAAGCTTCCTCATGTGAACTTAAATTGCTGATTTTAAATCTTCTTTACACATATGTGTATTTAAAGTGATGGATCTCCCTCTAACACTTCTTCAGGTGCATCCCATAAATTGTTATATTTTCATTATCTTTTAGTTAAAACTATTTTTAAAGTTGTACTGACATCTTGATAGAGAGGTTTAGAATTCCAAGTATTTGTGGATTTTCTGGCTATCTTTGTATTTCTAGTTTAATTCTATTGTGGTTAGTGTCCATACTCTTAATTTCAAGCCTCTTAAATTTGAGACTTGCTTTATGGCCTTGCTTCACAAACTTGATTTTGTTATGATGGATTATTATCGTGCATGCAGACTTTTATTCCTGCTTTGGCTATGCATATATAGCGTGCACTGTGGTGGTTAGCTCTGAAATCCTAAAACAGTATTCCACCTTCTGGGGGTCCTTCAGGCTTACACACAGACTGGGTGAGGGTCCAGCCAGAGCACGCTTCAGCAGCAGCGGACGCTGGGAAGGCTCTCCCTCGCCGCCCGGTCCATCCGGTCGATCCGGTCCATCCGAGAGCCCGCACAGCCCAGGGTGGAGCGTTCACGGCCCGTGTACTTTAGGGAGCTACGTAGGTGGTAGCCTACCAGTGTTTTCAACCGGCCGTCTCTTCAGAGGCAACAAAGTTAACAAGGTCTTAAAACCTGCAAGTCCTCAGAGGGAAGGAGAGCTGGGTCGAGTTCGAGAAGGTGGAAGGCTGCCCCATCCCTGGTTATTAGAGGGCACGTCTCTTTCGAGGCCTAAGGAAGCAGGGCCTCGAGTAATTGCTTCCCTTCCCCTCGGGGGCCAATATCCCCCTGCGAACAGCGCCTGCCGAACGAACCCTCCCAACCTCCCTCTTTTCCGGACTACAAACTTGAACTGGAAAGAAGAACCGGTTCGGGCTAAGAGGGAGGTCAGCAACCACCCGTCACGTGACGGCAAGAATGGCGAGGGGACATAGGGACCCTACGACCGCCCAGGCCCCTCCCACTTTACGACATCGCAGGGCCCCGCCCCCGCCGCAGGGTGGAGCGCGAAGCCCCGCCCCAAACGTCCTGTCTCGCACCACCCCTCCGGTCAGTAGGGCGGGGCGAGAGACCTGCAGGAGGCCGGTGCAGGGGGAGGGGAGGAAAGGAAGGAAGGGGTCACGTGCGGCCCACGGCCTGAGGTCACGTGACGGAGCGCGGGGGCAGGGAGTTCTCCTAAGGGAAGAGGAGCGAAGTTGGGGGGACGTGGCGGCGCGGGGCTGACAATGGTGAGTACGCGGCACCCCGCGCGCTTGCTTCCAGTCTTGCTCGGGAGTGCGCGGTGGGACGGCCAACCGCGGGCCCGGGGCCGCAGGGAGCGGCCGCCGGGGGCAGGCTAGCGGGGCGGGGAGCCAGGTTAGGCCGGTCGGGCCACCGCGGGGTCTGGAAAGTGCGGGCGGCGCCGTCCCTTCCTAGTCTTGGCAAGGCCCTGGGACCTGCGTGCGGCGGCGCTCTCCCGGCGATGTCGGAGCCCGGGTTCCTCGATCGGCTGTGGGGGCCGTGGCAGGGTACACGGATCCCGCCTCTGCGGGGGCTCGCCGCCGCCTCCCCTTCCAAGGTAGAGTCAGTCCCTTCGCTCTGCCCAGGCAGCTTTGGTTTATTTCATGTGGGGTGACGCGTGAGTCCCCCGGTTCCGGACTCGGGGGAAGAGGACGTGGTCAGTCTCTTCCAGAGGGTCACTAGCTTGATAACTCCGTGATTTTTTAAAAATCGGGATATGGTGACATTCTGAGATTTCCTGACGCCAGTTCCGTCTGATACTGACACTTGTAGAATGAGGGAGAAGAAGAGAAAGACGTTGGAATGGGAGACGTCTTTAACTCAGAGGACCAAGTTTCGTGCCCGCTGATTTAAGGACTGGCTTTCATTTCCTTCCCGAAGCCTTTTCTAGAAACTTAACGCTTTGGGATATTGAAATGGCCTAAGGAGTAGGGGGAGGGAAATTCGGAGTATGTTCTCCAAACTGTGGGAAGGGCAAGCGTGGGTACGGTGGTGTTTAACTTGGGTGTGCTGGAGTCTCTGGATTTGATCTCCTTTGGCTCATTTTATGCTACTATTCATTTGTCGTTTCAGGTAGCGAGCATATGTTGAGCGCCTACTGTGCACTCTCCATACACTACTTGCTTTCCCAAAGCTCAACGGTTCATGACACTTGGCTAAAGACAAAGCTAGGTTTATTTTTAAAAGTTAACTTTGAATAAATACAAGTAAAGAACAGGCATGTTTATTCTTAAACTTGGAAACTTTTTTTCCCTTCCTTCAGCAAATAGTTACTTTGGTGTGCTCAGGGGCCTGAGCGGGACTGAAATAGCCCTTCTTCTCGTGAGAAGTTCACAATCTGGAGGGAGATACTTATTTGTGTTTAACGTGGGAATTAACAGTTGTGATGAATACTAAGAAGGAAGTGTTGGGGATCTTGCTAGTCAGGAGTTAGGGAAGTCTTCTTTAACTGAATATAATTTGCAAAGAAAACTTAAAAGGCCTTCCTTTTTTGCTTACATTTAAAATGGTTACGTGTAATAAGCTTTTGAATTACAGTATGTTCATGAGCAATTTCTTTTTTTTTTATCCTCACCCCAGGACATTTTTTGATATTTTGTTCAGATAGAGTGGGAGGGAGATAAAGAGAGAGAGAGAGAGAGAGAGAGAGAGAGAGAGAGAGAGAAACATCGAGGAGAAAGGGACACATCCAGTGGTTGCCACCCACACGACCCAACCAGGGCCAGGGCCAGATTGCAGGTATGTGCCCCTAGCGGGAACGAATCCGGGTCTCTCTGGACCGCCGGCAAATACTCTAACCGCTGAGCCAATCTGGCCAGGGCTATTTTTATTTTCAAGTTAGTCGTCAAACTAAATTCTAAGGCTTTATGACCTTATAATGGGCACACATGTAATGTGTGTATGAAAATTGCTGTTTCATTGATGTGTATGGGCTAAGTGAATAAATTTTGAGGGCCTTCCTTCTACTCACCTTGAGTTGCATTTTTTTTACAGCCACTGGACCTAGTTAAATTTCTTCAGTGAGAGCTAAAAAGTTTGTCTTTTAATGTAGCCACGTGTAATTTTGCTAGATGGTAATAATACTTAATATTGGGTTTACAAATTATATGAACTATCTTAAAGTCAGTGATACCAGGTTTAGGCCATGATTAGAAAACTGTAAAAACAGTTGCTATCAAGTTTTAATAGTCATTTATTTCAGTCTGGTTATTTAAAGTCTACAAGAGTTGTCACTTGTATATTAATTGCCTACTATTGCTCCTGAAAATCTCATATTCTAAATGCTTACTTGAAGATATCTTTTCCAAAACAGATTTTATTTATTTATTTTTTTCACATCTTTATTGTTGGATGTAAAACGTATTACAGATGTTCCACATTTTTCCCCCATTGACCCCCTCCTCCCACATCCCGCCCCCCTCCCACCTTTTCCCAAACTATTGTCCGTGTCCATTGGTTATGCATATAAGTTCTTTGGTTTATCTCTTCCCACCCCCCCAACCCCTTTCCCTTTGAGGTTTGTCAGTCTAGCAATGAATTTGTGCTTCTTAATCCCTTCACCTTTTTCACCCATTCCCCCAACCCCCCTCCCAACTGGCAACCAACAAAATGTTCTCTGTATCTATGAGAATGTCCAAAACAGATTTTAAAGATCTCAAAACTGCCTTCTGTAGTTTCAGCAAAAGTCTCTGTTAATGTATCCTGACCTTCTTTTCAGTTTTTATTCCCTTTCCTTCTTCAAGTCTTCACCATCCTGACAATTCTGTATTTTGTTTCCTCTTTACATATTGGGAGTTGTTTTTTTTTAATCCTCACCTGTGGCTATTCATTAATTCTTTTAGAAAGAGTGGGAGGGAGGGGGAGGGAAAGAAGGAAAGAGAGAGGGAGAGGTGAGAGAGAAAAACAAACATCCGTGTGAGAAAGACACATAGGTTGATTGCCTCCCCCATGACCCCATCTGGGGCTGAGGATTGAACCCGAAACTGAGGTACTTGCTCCTGATCAGAAATTGAACCTGCGATTCTTTGGTACGGGCTGACATTCCAACTGCTGAGCCAAAATGGCCAGGGAGGGAGAATTACTTTTTTAATTTGATTTTGAATAAATAAAAGATTTTATTTATTTATTTATTTATTTTAAACGTTTTAATTTTTAATTGATTTTTTTTAGACAGAGAGGAAGGGAGAGGGAGAGATAGAAACATCGATGAGAGAGAACAACAGATCAGCTGCCTCCTGCGTGCCCCCCACTGGGGATTGAGCCTGCAACCCTGGCATATGACTTGACCCTGAATCAAACCAGTGACATCTTGGTGCATGGGATAATGCTCAATCCATTGAGCCACACTAGCCAGACTTTATTTATTTATTTTTTTATCCTCACCCGAGGACATTTTTCCATTTTTTGTTCAGGTAGAGTGGGAGGGAGAGAGAGGAACAGAGAGAGAGAGAGAGAGAAACATCGACGTGAAAGGAACATATCGAGTGGCTGCCACCCGCACGACCGACCAGGGCCGGGGACAAACTGCAACCGAGGTACATGCCCTTAGCGGGAACCGAACCCGGGTCTCTCAGGACCGCAGGCCGATGCTCTAAACGCTGAGCCAAACTGGCCAGGGCTATTTATTTATTTTTTTAGATAATTTTTTTTAAACCTTCACCTGAGGATACGTTTTTCTTTATTTTAGAGAGGGGGGAGAGAGAGAGAGACAGAAATTCATAGACAGATATCAGTGTGAGAGAGAGCATGGAACTGTTGCCTCCCATACAGGCCCTGACCGGGGATCAAACCCTGCAACCTAGGTATGTGCCCTGACCAGGAATCGAACCTGAAAACTTTTTTTTATTTTCACCTGAGGACAGTTTTTCATTTTTGTTCCGATAGAGTGGGAGGGAGGAAGAGGGAGAGAGAGGGAAAGAGAAACATCAATGTTAAAGAGACACATTGAGTGGCTGCCTCCTGCATGACCCCAACCAGGGCTGGAATGAACTGAAACTGAAGTATGTGCCCTTGACCGAAATTGAACCTGCGACTCATTGGTCCAAGGGCGGTGTTCTAACTGCTGAGCCAAACCGGCCAGGGCAAACTTTTGGTGTAGGAGATTACGCTCCAACCATCCAGGGCTGAATGATTTTAATTTTATGACTTTTTGTTTGAAATGACAGAAGATGCCCATTTTGAAATAAAAACTTCAAAAGTAAGACTTTGGGTAGAAAATCTTTCAACCCTTTTTAGAAGGAAAACAAAAAAGATAGACTTTTTTCCTCAGATAATTTTTTCTTTCTGTTGTCTACTTGTTAAATGTAAGACATCCAAATTTTATGGAGGCATTTAGTAAGACTAAATTCATTTTGGATACATACTAATGTAAAAAGCTGGATGTTAACCCAGTGCTAAATTCTCATGGTGTCATTAGTTAAACCTTGTTAAAGTGTTATAGTTTATTTCTCAGCCTATTATTCTGCATATGCAGTAATAGGTTTTTTGTTTTTTATCCTCACCCGAGGACATTTTTGCATTTATCTTCAGATAGAGCAGGAGGGAGAGAGGGAGGAAGAGAGAGAAAGAAACATCAATGTGAGAGACACATCGAGTGGTCACCACCCACACGACCTCAACTGGGGCCAGGAACAAACTGCATCCGAGGTATGTGCCCTTAGTGGGAACCAAACCCGGGACACACAGGTCCATGGGCCAATGCTCTGACCGCTAAGCCAAAGTGGCCAGCGCTACAGTAATAGGTTTTTAAAGTATTTCTCTTTTTATTTTTATTTTTATTTTATCAGATAGAGTGGGAGGGAGAGAGGGAGGAAGAGAGAGAGACACATCGACTGGTTGCCATCCACACAACCCCAACCAAGGCTGGGGACAAACTACAACCGAAGTATGTACCCTTAGTGGGAACCGAACCTGGGTCTCTCTGGTTTGTGGGCCGATGCTCTAATCACTGAGAAAACCAGCCAGGGTAGTTCTTACAAATTTTAAATGTGTAGGAATTTTTTATTTTTATGTATTGTCAAAATAAGACATTGTTTAATTATATTATTAGTTAATTGTGAAGTTTTATAAGACTCCTAAGTCTATTTAACATTTTAATTAGGGGCAGTTTTGATATCTTATTTTTGATTACTTGGTCTTTTTTTTTTTTTTTTTTAATCCTCACCTGAGAATATTTTTCTATTGCTTTTTAGATGGAGTGGAAGGGAGAGAGAGGAAGAGAGAAACATGGATGTGAGAGAGACACATTATTGGTTGTCTCCCGCATGACCACCACTGGGGCCGGGGATCAAACCTGCAACCCAGGCATGTGTCCTTGACTGGGCATCGAACCCAAGACTCTTTAGTCCTCAGGCCGACACTCTAACAGCTGAGCCAAACTGGGCAGGGCTAATTACTTGATCTTTTAATATCAGCCTTCAAATTCAAAATTCAGCCTTATGTATTAAATATATGTATGTGGAAAAATGTTACCATTGTATTTCCTTTTTATATGTAATATACATTTTATAGTTTTTAAATCTCATTTTTTTCTGGAAGTAGCTCTGGCAAAGTATTAAGGGGGAATGATAAAATTAAATTTATTGTCCTGCTTCTATAATATAACTCAAATGAGGCTGTTGTCTTCTACCCTGTCATAATTGCAAACACACACCCCCACACACCCTTGGCTCAGTGCTTTGCACATTGTTGATTATTAGTAAATATCAGATGACTAATATTGAGATGCTGTACATTCTCATATCTGTAGCGCTCAGATATTTACTTTATAGATATGACAAAATACACTATTTTGAGCAAGTTTTGAGTTTAAAACTTGGGGTCTGAAAGCTAGGATCCCTGGCCTGTGTGGCCCAGTTGGTTGGGCGTCATCCTGTGCCCACAAAGATTGCTGGTTCGATTCCTGGTCAGGCTGTGCAGGAAGCAGATGATCGATGTTTCTCTCTCTGTCTCTGTCTCTCCCTTCCTCTCTTTAAAAATCAATTAATCTTAAAAAAAAAAAAAAAGGCTAACTAGGAAAGGACAATGCATGTGACCCATCATTGATGTTTTTCATTCGCTAAATTTGTTCAGAATAGTTTTCTAATTGAAATTTTCTGGTTGAGATTGAGTATTTTGTTTGTACTGTTGCCAAGAAAGATGAAAACATTTTGTCAGTAGGAAAATTTGCTGTTTGTGCCTTTGAAATATGTCCAAAATACTAACTGACAATTGTTTTAGTTGATGTCTTGATATTATAATCCTTTTGTTAATGCAGGATTAATAAAAGAAGCAAGCTCTGAATTTAGGAAAACACTGTCTCCTTTGATCATAGCATGTCACCCTGTGACCTACATAGCTAGCCTTAGGAAGATTATTAGCCTGTTTGCCGTTACCCTCCCACCTGAGGACAGAACTGAGACTTAATCCAAATCCTTCCTCTAGACTTTGCTACCGACAGTGCTGACTTTTGGGGGGAGGACTAGTTTTACTAAATATTTCAGATTTTAGCTCATTTCTTTTGTGTATCTATTTGTTTTATTGTTATTAAGACAGTATGTGTTTCATTCAAAATTAATTTAACATTGAACAGGAATTTGAATGCCTTCCACTAAATGCCACACACTGCCCCTAGCCACTGTGATGAGCAAAGGGTAAGGTATCTGACCTCATGGAATTTACAGTCAGGGAGTCAGGTACTAAATGAGCACACAGATTATAATAAAGGATGAGGTATAACGATTTGGAGTAGTGAGACCTAAATTTGGGGAATCCAGTTTTGATTAGGAAGTTAGGGAAAGCCTCTTATGGACATGAGTCCAACTGAGACTCAAAGGATGAAATAGTTAGGGTAAGGATACTTGATACTTGATTTAGGACGAGAAGGAGACTGGCAGATTTGATGAACTTGGATCATTTGAGGCTGGTGTGGCTGGAGAGATGAATAGAGCCAAATATAAAGGCCATTTTAAGAAATACAATGTGTGTGTTTAACATTTCATTGAAGTAAACATTAGCTATATAAAAATGCACAAATACTTGTATAGCTTGATGAATTTTCACAAAGTGAATACCCGTGTATGAAGCACTTAGCTAAAAACAAACAACATGACTAGCAGCACCCAGAAGTTCTCTTTGTGCTTTCTCCCACCAATCCCTGACTTTTAAAACTAACGTATGTTGCATATTTTTTACTTTTTTTGGTACATGCCCCTAGCAGGAACCAAACCCAGGACGCTGGTCTGCAGGCCAACGCTCCAACCACTGAGCCAAACTGGCCAGGGCTGTTTTTTACTTTTTAATAAATGGAGTCATACAGTGTGCATTCTTTCTGTGTCTGGCCGCTTTCACTTGACATTATGTGTGTGAGATTCATTCTTGCTTGTGGTCGCATCTTGTTCCACTGCCCACTGTATGAATAAAGACTAAAAGTTATGCATCCATTCTCTTGTTGATATATATTTGGGTTGTTAACTTTTTGGAGATGTTGTGAACATTCTTACATTGTTTCCTGGTTCATGTGTATAAGAGTTTCTATTTGGGTAGATACCTAGGGGTGTAATTGCTGGGTTGTGGGATATGTTTAGCTTTACAGATAATGCCACTTATTTTCTAAATAGGTGTTCCCATTTATACTATCACCAGCACATTGAAGGATTTTAAACAGAATGATGATCAAATTTTTTTTTTAATGTTTTTAATTGATTTTTTAAAAAGAGAGGAAGGGAGAGAGAAACATCTATCAGCTGCCTCTTGCATGCCCCCTACTAGCAATTGAGCCTGTAACCCAGGCACGTACACTGACAGGGAATCAAACCACGACCTCTAAGTCCATGGGATGAAGTTCAGTCCCTCTGAAATCACTCTGGTTGTTCTTAGGGAAGAATAAGAATGGATGTAGGACACCAGGATAGGAGACTGTTCTCTATAAATTTTTAAAAAGACTAGAAAACTAACTTTCATAAATGACAAAAATAATCTACAACTATATCTGATATTTGAATTACTAATGGATTCTGTATTACTAATATGCTTTGGCATTCATAAGCAATTGATCTTTGTCTCTTATAATCTGTCGTAGCCAGGATTTACAGAACAAGGCTTATACATTTTCTTTGGAAAAATTCACAGAAATTTATGCTCTTTCATTAGAGCCAGTTTTATTATATATATGGGCTTATACAGTGTAACACATTCTGTTCAGATCTATAGCAGTAAATTTTACAGGAAGTAGTACATTGTAATTATTCATTTGGATTTGTATGAGTAATTTGGATTTATGAGTTCTGCTATAATGAAAGAACCTTCTAGAAGTATAACCAAAGGTAACTTTTCAAATCCAGATGTTAAGAATTAATTTTTTATATTTCTGGTATATCTGTTTAATTATTTATAGTGGTTACCAATGGAAATGATCGAAATTACAGCATGTTTAAGTTTGTGTAGTTTTTGTCTTTTTTATTGTAAAAAACATCTAACATGAATTTATCCTCTTAACAAATTATTTAGTGTACAGTATTAACTATTTACGTTGTATTAAATTTAAATTCTCATTTCCCATGAATTCATAGATTGCAGTCTCTAACTGTAGGTCATAGGCAATTAATTGAATTACAAAACATAGTGACTGACAAAACATGATCATTTTCTTATATTTCAGAGTTTTCTTGGCGGCTTTTTTGGTCCCATTTGTGAGATCGATGTTGTCCTTAATGATGGGGAGACCAGGAAAATGGCGGAAATGAAAACTGAAGATGGCAAAGTAGAAAAACACTATCTTTTCTATGATGGGGAATCTGTTTCAGGAAAGGTAAATAGTTTGTAGGATGCTAGAATTAGTCATCAAAGTGGTATGTGCTGTTTCTAAATTTGAATGATTTTCTTAGAGATGTAATTCATTCTTTTGGAGGGGTAGCTAAACTCTTTAATTTATTAGAACATTTATAGGAAAGATTCTTAAACTAGAAGGGTTACAGGGGCAGAGTCTAAATTGTGTGCAAAATTTTGTGTTTCTGATTATCTGCCTCCGACAGTTGCGCCAATAGGGCTGCAGTCATGTAGTTTGTTTCTCCTATAACATAAAGTTGTTATAGAGATTAAGGATAATTCTCTAGTATACCTTTTTAAAAGTTTCTTCCTCATTCTTCGTAGCTTATCTTCTCTACTACTACCACCATTGTATCTGTCATTTCTTGGTACCCTGTAGAGGACTTATGTTTGGAATGTGTCTCTGCATGGTCAGATATATTTATGATACCTCCTAAAAGTTTTCCCTTTCTCTCCTTTTCCTTATCAAATGATGTATAAGATTGTTATACCTTAGGGAATATGATCTGTATTCATTAGTCTGTGATACTGAGGAATGGTAATACCATAGACAAAGTCAAGCCATAAACCATTTGAAATAGTTTTTTAAATATAAAATAGAGTTTTTTTCCCCTGCTTGTTAAAGTAATATAGACACATGTTAGACAGTTTGGAAAAATAAAATAACTACCCACGATTCTATCATATGGAAAGAATTCACTGTTAAAATTTGGGTATGTTTGTTTATGTATATATAGTATATTAAGCATACTTTTCCCCTATTATTGGATATTTAAGTAGTTTTTATTTTTCAGATGGCTTGTAATATCTCACCATATCTTTGGTAATACTGACATTTGTATACATACATTTTTCTCCAAACTTTTGTAAGATATGATAATATCTTTTTTTAAATATATATTTTCATTACTTTTATTTATTTATTTATTTTTTTATCCTCACCCGAGGATATTTTTCCATTTTTTGTACAGATAGAGTGGGAGGGAGAGAGAGGAAGGGAGAGAGAGTGAGAAACATCGATGTGAAGGGACACATCGAGTGGCTGCCACCCGCACGACCAACCAGGGCCGGGGACAAACTGCAACCGAAGTACGTGCCCTTAGCGGGAACCGAACCCGGGTCTCTCCGGACCGCAGGCCGACGCTCTAACCGCTGAGCCAAACTGGCCAGGGCTATTTTCATTACTTTTAGAGAGAGAAAAAGAAGGAGAGGCGGGGAGAGAGAAAGAGAGAAACATCTATGTGAGGGAGAAACATTGATCAGTCGTCTCTTATGTACACCCTAACTGGGGACCCAACCCAAAATCTGGGCGTGTGCCCTGACCAAGAATTGAACTGACGACTTTTCGGTGCACAGGATGATGCTCAACCAGCTAAGCCACACCAGCGAGGGCAAGATTATTTGTTTAGAATGAATTCCTGGAAGTGAGTTGTTGGACCAGAAAACATGAATATTAGAAGGATGTTGATACATATTAATCTGGAAAATTTGCATCAAATCATGTCTACTTACAATGTTTTGTTTCATCCAAAGTAGCACTGAATATGATCACTTTTTAATCTTTGCTATTTTGATAGGTAAAATGATATTCTTTTTTTAAAAATTTTTTCTTTATTGATTTTAGAGGAGAAGGGAGAGAGAGAGAGAAACACTGATGAGAGAGAACATCGATTGGCTGCCTCCTGCATGTCCCCTATTGGGGATTTAGCCCACAACCTGGGCATGTGCCCTGACCGGGAATCGAACCAGCGACCTCTTGGAGCATGGGTCGACATTCAACCACTGAGCCACACCGGCCGGGCAAAATTATATCATTCTTATAATTAACATTTCTTTGATTACGAGATAGGTTGAACTTAGATTTATTAGCCATTTTACTGCATTGCCTAATCTGGTCCTTTGCCAAATTACTTCTGTTGCCGTCTTAGTGTTATATCTGAAATAAATGTTTTGTTTTTCAACTTTACTTTTCTGGTACTCTTCCTTTAAAAACATGGAGAGGAAGATAAGAGGCCTAAAAAAGAGCAGACAAAATTATCAAAAGGATGGAACATGTCAAATATAAGAAAGAGTAAAGGAAATAGTATTTGGCTTATAGAAAAGAAGACATTATGGTGGGGTAGGGATACCAACCTAGTCTCTCTAAGGAGAGATTGAACCTGCTAATATTTCAGATATTTACTTTATAGATATGACAAGTAAATAAATACCTCTCCTGCTAGGTTAAAAGCTTAAAAAAATTTTTTTGTTTTAATCTTCACCTGAAGATAATTTTCTATTTATCTTCAGATAGAGTGGTAGGCGGGGAGAGAGAGAGAAACATCGATGTGAAAGAGAGACATCAATTGGTTGTCTCCTGCATGAGCTCTATCGGAGCTGGGGACCGCAACCTAGGTACTTGTCCTTGACTGAATCGAACCCAAGATGCTTTGGCCCATGGGCCCACGCTCTTAACCGCTGAGCCAAACCGGCCAGGGCTAGGTTAAAAGCTTTTTAAGATCAGAGAATCAGTGTGTGCTTCTGCAGTCTCCATAAAGTACGTTATAATTTATTCATATAATAGGCTCTCACTAAATATTTATTTGATTTGTTTCTTTACTATTTTTAAATCTAATAGGGAACATTCCCTGTCTGGTTTAAAGAAATCTTATGTCATCAGGGCCAATTAGGCTAATGTTTATGGGATAAAGAAAAAAGGGAATGTTTAAGGAGATAAAACTACCTCAGTGTGGTTTTTAAAAAAATAGTTGGCATTCAGATTACATTTCTGGAATTGCTAGGGATCGTATGTAGGCCTAATCAATAACTATAGAGTACATTTAAAAAAATGATAAACCTCTTATAGGTAAATATTTTGCTCAAAGGGTGTTATATCTGGAATCTGATTATTAATTTACCTGATTTTTTTTTTCATTTTTAACCTTTTTACTGTGAATAAAACACATATAGAAAACCACATAAAAAAATAAATTATAAGGCATATTTTCTTATAATCACCATTCAAGTCAAGTGGAACTTTGCTAGCTACCCTATATATTCCATCCCAACACAGCGTCTTCCCCTCAAAAGTAACCCTGTGCTGACATTTAAAATAATAAACTGTCTCGTTTTAAATTTTTTTTTTTTTTTTATTTTAGAGAGAGAAGAAAGGAGAGGGAGAGAGAGAGATAGAAACATCGAGGAGAGAGAACATCAATTGGCTGCCTCCTGCATGCTCCCCACTGGAGATCGGGCCCACAACCTGGGCATGTGTCCTGACTGAGAATCGAACTGGCATCCTCTTGGTGCATGGGTTGACGTTCAACCACTGAACCACACCAGCTGAGCTAAATTGTGTTTCTTTTTTATCCTCACCCGAGGACATTTTTCCATTTTTTGTACAGACAGAGTGGGAGGGAGAGAGAGGAAGAGAGAGAGAGGGAAACATCGATGTGAAAGGGACACATCGAGTGGCTGCCACCCGCACGACCAACCAGGGCCGGGGACAAACTGCAACCAAGGTACATGCCCTTAGCGGGAACCGAACCCGGGTCTCTCCGGAACGCAGGCCAACACTCTAACCGCTGAGCCAAACCGGCCAGGGCTAAATTGTGTTTCTTAATTGTTTAGTCTTGCTTTAAAAAAATTTGATAGGAAGTTTAAATCTCTTTTAATCTCAGGTTCCCTCTTCATGCCTTTCTTTTCCTTATAATTTATCTGTTGAAGAACCTGGGCCATTTGAACTGGAGAGTTCTCTCTGACTGCATGCTCATGATACGGTTATTGCCTGTTAATTGGCAGCTGGATCTAGAGGCTTGATCAGATTCAAGTTTGATTTCTTTTGACAAAAATACGGGTGATGATGTGTTTTTTCATCAGGGACTGCATGTCATCTGGTTTTCACTTTCTTTTTTCTCTTTTTTGCAACTCTTGTAACAGTTGTTAATATTTATTCCTGGCATACCTCTAGAACAGGTTACTAAATATGATTTTATGAGCACTTTGAAAAGAAAGCTTAACAGAAAAAGAAGAAAACAAGCATTGGTTATCTGTGATCCAGCATGAGTCACTAAGAACATGCCTTACCACACCAATCTAGGCTTTCTGAAATGTCTGAGTATAATAAAAAGATCATTGGGATAGAGTTGGGAGACCTAGCCTTGATTTTACCACTGTGTTAGCAGATAACTCTGGGCAGTCATTTAACTTTCTGGATCTCACTTGTAAATTGAGAAGGCTGGACTGAATTATTGGTTTCCAAACTTGACTTTTCATTGTAGGGTTCTCTGCATAAAAATCCTTCATATGTTAGATATAATCTTGGAGACTTGAGGGGTCTGACATCCCACCCAAAACAAGAACAAATTCCTTTTATATTTCTGACGTGAGCTTCTGTAAACCCACTTTTTTTTCTTTTTCAGATTAAAAAAAAAGACTTAATTTTTTTTTTTTTTTTATCCTCACCCAAGGACATTTTTCCATTTTTTGTACAGATAGAGTGGGAGGGAGAGAGAGGAAGGGAGAGAGAGTGAGAAACATCGACGTGAAGGGACACATCAAGTGGCTGCCACCCGCACGACCAACCAGGGCCGGGGACAAACTGCAACCGAAGTACGTGCCCTTAGTGGGAACTGAACCCAGGTCTCTCCGGACCGCAGGCCGACACTCTAACTGCTGAGCCAAACTGGCCAGGGCAAGACTTAATTTTTTTAGAGCAGATTTAGGTTTACATCTAAACTGAGAGGGAGATACAGATATTTCCCATTTACACCCTACCCCCTAACATGCATCGTCTCCCCACACATCATTCCCCAGAATATATATATATATATATATTTTTTACCAACAATGAACCTACATTGACATATCATAATCATACTACTTTTGGTGGTGTATCTGTGGGTTTGGACAAATATATAACATATATCCATCATTATAATGTCATACAGGGAACTTTCATTGTCCTAAAAAATCCTCTTTGGCCCGGCTGGTGTAGCTCAGTGG